TGTAGTCTTGTAGTCTGAATACGGGCTTGTCTCCTCTAATGTCAGTCTGCACTGCAGAAGATAGCAACTGTATGGCCACCTGGCTGTGCAGGCTGAATGGTGGAACTCATTGGGTCTATCACAGGTTTTCTTTTTAAAAGTATAATGTCTATGCATTAAAATGCCAATGCATAATGCAGGCAGCCACCCGAAATGCCCTAATGCAAATACCAATGCTAAACTTACCAAGCATGATTGGAAAATATGGCATTTGTTTAGAGAGTAGTTTTGGACACTGAAGAGCTCATTGGAACAGTCCATTTAAACACGTGTTATCTGCATTAACAGTCCATGGCTGATGCTACAATACTAAATAGTATACTTTCTTTAATATATTAACTTACTTAAAAGCTAGTGTGGTACAATAGTTAGTTTATTGCAAGTGATACCTGGGCTCATATATCTACTCAGCCATGAAGCTCCCTAGATGACCATGGAGAAGTCTTCCTTTCCCATGTTATCCTGATAAGGCTGAGAGAGAGAGATCAACCTAAGACCACCCAGCAGGACTCATTGGCAGCATGGGAATTCAAACATGGGCCTCCCAGATCCTAATCCAACAGCTTGAGTATATACCACAATGGCTTTCTGAAAGGACTCTGTTGTACCTGAACTTTTTGTACCCATAGTGCTGTTATTCTATAGTTCCTCATCCACAGATATGTACAAAAATGAGGAATGTAGATGGTGTTATGCAGAAAAGCCATTTTGCCCCCTGAGCTAGAAATAAAGCGACAGACAACTGTTTGGAATTCAAACAAGGGCCACTTTATTAACTATTTTTTTGCATAATAAATCAGCAGCAAAGAAACTAAGTGGGAACAGAACAGGCAAGGCAGGTGTCACTCGAGCCAACCTCCTTGCCTAGATGTATGGGCAAGTCACTAGCCCCAGTTTAGGGCCAAGTCTCTGGCCTGCGACCGGCAGCCCAGCACACAGGTCACCTCCCAAGAGCGCCTACCCCTGAAGCCCTACAGCTAAGAGGCTCCCTGAGGTGGTCACCATTCCCAGCCCTAAGCCCAACAGCCCTGGGGTTGTTCCTGATGACCCCCTGGTCCCCAACTGGAACTGGCTGAAAGTGATTACCGGTTCTGCATTCTTTCCCACCCTACTCTGCCACAGGCAAGGCCAAGCCTCTGCTTTGGCCGCCGCAGCCACCTAACAGCCCAAGGCTGCCCTAATCCCTTGCTGTAATTCCTCTAGGAATATGTCATTGCCCTTGTTTGACAAATGGATGCCATCATCCCTGTATAGGTCAAGCTCGACCTGAATACCTTGATAAGAGAGAGACTGACCTAAACCCCCCTCCAGTGCCTTTTCCATATGTCGGTTCACCTTCTTCCGGGCCCTGTCCAAACCCCGGGGGTCCCCAAGGCCACGCCAGACACAACGCGGCAAAATTGCTGACCACACAATCTGCGTACCTGGCCACCTTGCTTTAATGGTGGCGAGGTCAGCCTTGGCCTGAATTGCCAATGCTATGCCCTTCAGCAGGCCCAGGTCGTTACCCCCAAGGCGGATAACCAAGACCTGCGGGAGGGCCCCTGCCGTTTTCCCAACAACAAAGGGAGAAGTCTGGGCCATCTCAAGCCTCTTCTCCCTAACCACTCAACACAAGCCCACCCGCTGAGGCCCAGCTGTGATCCCACAGGTGTCCTCCTGGTGTGATGGGCAGCCCAGAAAATCATACTGTGGCCACAAACCAGAACGTCGTGCCTCGCCGGCCTGCTGACAGCACCTGTAATGAGAGTTTTGTCAACATCCAAACTCAAAACTTGTTCTTTTGAACATAATTCTTATACGTGCGGGAACGCCAACGGCCGACCGACCGAATATCAGTGGGAGAATACCCCATGTCAGCTGCGGTGGAAGCCGCCCAAATCCTGAAGGAGTGGGTTCCAAAACGAAAAGCCCCCAAACCCAGCTTTTTCAGCGCCTTCTGG